GTCTGAGGTGAGCATGTGAAGGAGTCCAAAGGTGCAGTTTTCACTGAATAATCAATGGATGTGCTCATTGAGTTAAGTGTGAAACCAGTAATTAACAACAACCAGGAAGCCCTGAAGGCATTCTTACAACCTATTCTCACAGTCCACAAACAAAAAACAGGTTTGGCACAAATCAGAGTTTGAAAAGCATGTTTGTTTGTCTGTTCGATTTTTTGGATCCTGTAACAGTGAAGGGTTGATAGCATGACGGCGCATGCTTACTTTGCATGATCAGCAATAAAACCAACACAATCTTTACCACGGTCTTACCTGTCCTACCTTAATAACAGTGGGAAGGGATGCATCATGTCCACAGCGCAGAAATACATTGGAGTAGGAGCCAGTGCTGTTTGACGATGTTTTGACATGCAATCTGCACTCCATATGTTGTGTGTGACCTGTTTCACAGAATCCACCGTGATCCATTGCGTCAGCTTTGCATTCCCCAAACAAGCAATTAACATAGTTTTCTTTCTTTTTTGCTTCCATTTAGTAAATGACAGTAACAGCTCCTCCTCTTATTGCTTCAAGGTTGTAGTCATTTTCAACATGAAAACATTTTTTTTTCCACATATTTGCAGTGTTCTGAATTATTATATATATATATATATGCTGTCTGGTGATGCATTTCGATGATATTGTGCAAATGCATTATACATTCAACATTACTCAATTTAATTTTTCCATGGGAAAATATGTAAGAAATGGTTAGCCTTATTAAATCAGTGCAGATGCTGTATTTTTTATCAAAGTCCTTTGTCCATGAAAAGCATAACCTCTGGGAAGTACAATGAGAGCATGCATTGTGATTAAGACATAAACGTAGGTTTGAAATATGTGTATATGATTTATTATACTATGTTTTTTTGGACATTTGATCACCATTTGTAAGATCTCATTGACATTGATCAACCATATCAATGCTTCATCCATTGAAATTACATGTTTTAGGTCAGCGTTTCCCAACCCTCTCCTGGAGGACCCCTGGTCCTGCATGTTTTAGATCTCTCCCTGCTCCAACACAGCTGATTAAAATGATCAACTTGTTATGAACTCCAGAACCTGCTTAATAACAAACTGATCATTTAAATCAGCTGTGTTGGAGCAGGGAGAGATCTAAAACATGCAGGACAAGGGGTCCTCTAGGAGAGGGTTGGGAAACGCTGTTTTAGGTGACGAAAAGCATTCAACTATGATGTATGAGATTTACAGAAAGTTGCAGAGTGAGGTGTGTCAGGCAATAGAATCAATACCTTAGTAAGGCATTTTATACAACAGTCTAGATATATCAAATGGTTCCTAAGAAATATCAGAAAGGAAGGGCAATTGAGGGCACTAATCAGAACATGGAGACAATAAGGCAAAAAGGTCCACTGGTTACCTGTGGTTTAAACCTGTCTAAACCAACCTGTCAAAGGGTCAAAGATGCACATATTTAAATGTAAGTGGCAAATGTGTCAGTCATCTATAATCACAAAAATCACAATGCAAGTTAGCAATAACACGGTTGCCATATTAAAGTATTGTTTTTTCTGACTCCAGTGGACGTCACATGAGAAGAGCAGCTGTTGCTGTAAACTGGCAAAGTAAACGCTGTTTGCTGAAAACTCCTGGATGCATCAGCACCTGAGATGGCTGATATATGAACTCCAGCCACTGGTTGCAGCCGATCTAAAAAAAGACGAGACAGCGCGAAAACCCAGCGGACTGAGACTGAGCTGAAAAGTTGCTCGTGTCAAACTTATAATGACAGCTAGATTAAAGAATAAACTGTCAGAATTCGGCGTGTTCAGGTCTGTCTTTGTCCATCAACCTGCTCAGCGGAATCCGCCGGTAAACTACCTGTGTCGTTCACACTCCTGCCTGCGCTCTTATTTCCTGTCCCCGCAGACTGAATCTATCCAATGAGTGCTATTGTCAAAAAAGCTGAGGAGTTTTTTTTTTTCCTTATGCATTTCTGTTTATGGATAAGTCGAGGCTGACAGAAAATTTTAAAATAAAATAAAAAAAAAAACTCTTTTAGATATGGCCTAGACTTCTTCTGCGGAAACAGTGCTTCACCGCGGTTGGGAGGGGTAACGTTCAGCCACAATGGAAACGTTGAAGCTGACCAGAGGTACCGCCATTAATTGAACGACCTTGGCATCGGCGGTTTAACGATGACATCCACTTCAGTATAAATGGGACACGGCGGAAATAAAATATGTATTTTAGTGTGCATGAAAAAAAAAATCCGAAGCACTAAGATCACTAAATGATGACCCTGGTGCTGGTCTGAATGACATCACACAGTTAACTTTGGTGACCGTCTGTGAGATCCCTACTTCAGAGAGGTCTGAAATAAAGCGCGCCACCCTGAGCCGGTCAGAGCCGACAAAAGGGCCTGCCGGTAATCCTTTTTCATGGAAGTGAAGCATTACCATGTCAGCTTAAATCTGAGAATGAGCTCATTGTTTGTGAGGAAAAAATCTTCAAAATCATCCACCTGGTATCCTCATCCTCTGTTCTGTGCCTCTCTGATGGCCTTAATAAGCACAGAGATAATGAGATTATGAGTGTTGTGTGCTTATTTGCTTGAAGGAAACTGCACTTCAATGGTAAGAAAAGATTTTTTTTTTTAATTAATCATGCAATACTGTAAAACATACCCAGACTGGATTACCAAACCTAATGCTTTTGTCTCATCACATTTTATGGTTTCCTATGACGATAAACCTCCCAGGTAGCTCAGTGGGTAAGGTGTTCACCTTGAGTGAAAGCTGTGCTGTACAGCCTGGATTGGATAGCCAGCCCTGTCATTAGCTGATGACGACCAAGAGCCTACAGCGGCGGAACAATTTGGCTTTTTTTCCCACAGGTGAGAATGTTGGCAGGGGCTGCTTACCTCCCTGCTCTCAGGTAGCCTGTGATTGGCTGAGATTACACCGCTTGTCTTCCAATGAGAACCCTCTCCGCTTTAGCGCACCGTGTGACTCTGGGTGTGAAAAACAGCCGTTCCCTGGGCACGGGCTTATCGGAGGATTGCATTCGTCTTGCCTCAGCGCTCACACCGGTTGTTACAGCGAGACGAGCCTACCACAGCGCTCAATTGGTGCTTCCAAAACATAACAGTAACAAACTGTCTCCAGGGAATTTAAGGGAAAATGTGAGGAGCAATTCATTAAGGACATCAGGATTGCACCAAAGTTACTCAAATAAAAATACTGTGATAGCTACATTTTTTTTTTTTTTGGTACAGGAGAAATATTATTGTTACTTTTTAATTGGGAGACTAGGTTGTCCAGACAGACTGACAGGGGCCGGTTCAATACCAGAGGGAATAAAGCAGTCCAGATTTCACAGTCTAAAAATATGTTGCTTTGTTCTGCAACACAAACTCTGTTTTCCTCTGTTTAAAACTTGGACAGAGAGCCGTAAGCCCTTATTGGCAGCTTGTGGCACATTGGAGTCAGTCCTATTTCCCAGAGAATGCTCTTGTTTCAATAATATGAGGAAAATACAATTTCTCATATTTGTCTGAAAAAGTCTGTATTCACCATATGTCATTTTTCTTACTTAATATAAAATGGTTTCTGGTGAGGGAGATTTGGGTTGGTTTGTTACCAGCTCTTTGTCAAAATACATGGTTGAAATAGATACATTCTGTAGCCCAGCTGACATAAAACATTTAAAAGAGCTACAAATAGAGGCATCATCTATTCCTGGAAATGTGTATGGATAATGAATCAGATAAACAACATTCATGAATTAATCAGCCACATAATGTTAGCTGTTGAATATTACTTTGTATTTGCTCTAGTCTGTTGTGTTTTATAAATATTACTTAATGCGGAAAATAACAAGTATATTGTTCTTGAGAAAGTTCCTTGTTCTTTATACCTTGATGTTCTCAATGACTGTCTGTATACTGTTTGTTATATGATTACTGTAATCAACTTGAAAACCATAGTACCACTTACTATTACTCCTATTGCAATATCATTCTCCATCTACTCTTCATTTTTTCAGCTATTCTTTCTTTCTATGTAAATATGAGAGCAATCAGTTTTGTTGATGGCAAATGAAAAAAAAGATTAGTTATATATTTTTATTTATTTACTATACTTCACTTAAGTACAAAATGCAAATCAGATTCTTACACTAGGCGATTGCTTAGCAAATATCCTTGTCCCTTGTGACTTAGTTTTCATCTCTGTCACAATTCAGGTTAAGTGCCTTTCTCAAGGGTACAACAACAGTGTCCCATCAGGGAGTTGAACCTGCAACCTCACCGCTATGCCATGCCGCTGGGTATAGATGACGAACAGATGACAGATATAGTAGAGTAGAGTAAATGATGATGAATTAATGACTGATAAGAGGAAGTCCGTGCAAAGGAGAACTCTTCTGCCAGAAAGAATTATATCAATTTGCATGTGCGTAAGTTAGTACGTTATGCCAAATTTGAAAGTGGAAGACAAGGTAATTGAAAAAGAGACTGCAGTCTCTTGTTGGGTGTACATATGGAGTATTTATGCCACAAGCTGATCTTTCTTACCACCAGGCAATTGTGTTACCTCAACAAGGATACCTTTTTATTAAGCAGAAAATCTAAGTGTGTTATTGTGGGAGTAATATCAAAGAGCTGTCTGTGGGCGTAAAGTATATTTACTTCATATCTGACAGAATACAGTAAACAAACAGAAATGCACACAGTTGTGTCATATAAATGAATTGTAGTGAATGCTTCCATGACATGCTGTATGATGTGAATAAATTATTGTTTTGAGGAATTCTGAGTCACTTGCCACAAGAATCAGATGCATTACATTACATTATTGTCAGTTAGCTGATGCTCCAATCCAGAGTGACTTACACCAGTTACTTTTTTTTTACATGTTATCCATTATACAGGTGGATATACAGGTGTATTTACTGAGGCAATTCTGGGTTATGGGCCTGGCCCAAGGCTACAGTGGCAGTGCACCAGCATGGAATCAAACCAGCAGCCTTTAGGTTATGAGCCCTGCACCTTACCACTATGCTACACTGCTGCCCATACACATACGCAAATACACAGTGCCAGAAATTTTAATTGAAGACAACACAGTAACATCTGCTGTCGGCCATAACTCATGAGTATGTGATTGTGTCTCATGATCTTTTTCTACAGATTACACAAAAAGACTTTGTGTCTATAGACATGGTTCGTTTCATTTTAGTTCATTTTTGTTTAGTTCATTTTTCCATAACAGAATAAAACCTAATAAGCTGCAATATTACATTTCATATTTAGAGGCGGGGTCGCTCCTCCACTTTTGAATTGACAATTCTTCACTCAAGCCCTCTTCATAAATCTATGCCCTACATCCTCTCCCACCTTCAGCAAGCGGTGCCTCAAATGACAGATCAATCAAAGCGGCCGGTCTCACCTGGTGGTAACACACATATGGGTACAGAGAGGTGAGATCAGCTCCGAAACGGGCATCTGCAGAGAGAGACAACAGTGAACTCCTGCATCTCGCTGGCACGCGGCCAGACTGCTCTTACTACTATTGTCCTTCACCCCCTCCTGCAGTCTGAGATTTGCTTTTCAATTAGTTTACCTCATCATTCCTCTCCGTGTCTTTGTGGAAAGACACAAGTGCAGTCTTTCTGGGTGCATCTGAGGCATTGCAATGGCTTCAATAGCAGATTTTCCGAGTACAAATAGAAAGATACATGAGATTTCGTTATTTATATTTCAGATTCTTGCTCACAGACATAACTGAATTATTATTAGAACATATTTAAAATTATACAGTAATAATTATGGTAATAATTTCAAAGTTATATTATTTAGAATAACAGTGCTCGTTAGGAATGCTAAAAAGTCTGGCAGCGCTGTTTGGTTTTGAAGCTTTGAAAATGGTTTAAATCTATAATGGGACCATTTGTGTTTTGTTACAGTTTCATCCACAAGTGGTTTGACTCTGCCAATATTCTCTAACCTTAACAGATGGAGCTAGTCTGGTGTAGAAGCTATGCAAATCACGGATCATTCATCTGGGATTCACGTTCAATAATCTCTCCAAGCAGCAGTCTCTCTTGGCTATTAATTTAGATCTGAGATCTGACAAACCTTGCCATATGAAGGGTGAGTCTTTATTTCGACGTCTCTCTATCTCCCTCTCTCTCTCTCTCTCTCTCTCTCTCTTGTTTGAATGATTAGTCATCCTTCCATGGCATGCTGCTTGATATGAGCTAATGATAGAGCGGATCAGTCCTGAGCCACTTGCTACAAGGTTCACATACTTAATTTAATCACAGCAATTTTAATTGCAGACAACAGAGTAACATCTGTTGTTGGCATCTCTCTGTTGTAAGAATCTTATTAGGTCAAAATGTGCAGTGATGATAATGGATATCAAAAAAATATTTGTAATCTGCATTCTCCCAACATTTAATACAGATGTGTAATGGTGAGATGTATCTGAAGTACCTTACATTGTGCAGAAAAGAAATTACGTGCATTAAATGCTGGGAATATGTAGATTACAAATTCTTTTGATATCCATTATCATCACTGTACATTTTGACCTAATAAGATGTGCCATGATGATAATGGATGTCACAAAATAATTGTAATCTGCATACATTTGACAACATTTAATGCAGATGTGTAACAGTGAGGTATGTCAAAAGTATCTATCATTGTTCAGAACAGAAACCTGGCATATTAACCATTATGCTTCAGAAATGTTCTCACTTTAAGTCTAATTAAATAGTGCCTTATTGACTCTTTTATTGCTTCAGCATTGCCTTACAAGCATTTAACAAAACAAATCAGTTTGTGCTTCCTAGTGTCAAATGTCAAATTAAGGTTAACTGTGATCAGTCAGTGGTCTCACAGTTCCCTGTGTGTGGGCTTCTATCTCATACAAGTAGTCATTGGTTGTACATAGCCAAGGTGCACAGATTCAAACAGAAATTCCAAATGGATGATCACACCACAGCATTGCACTGTTTAACTCCAAGGACTTTTTCATTATCTTCAGCTGGAGATATTCATGTTGAAATTGCTTTTACGCCAACATCTCCAGTCCATATGTACAACTATGCCAGTTTCACAAAGGTCTTTGTTATTTTTGTGGTTTCTATTATTATGTTTTTCTTCAGAACCACAAGTCTAGGGCATGTGGGGCAAGGAAAAGAAATACTTTGTCCATTTTAGAAAAATAATAAAGAAGGGGAAAACTGAGCAACCGCTATCTGTCAAACAATGCTGCCTCAGCCCACTGCAAATTCAAGGGGAGAGTGGAATTTATTCCGTGTGAAGGCTTTAGAACCAGAGAAAAGTATGGTCAATTTATTGATAGCAACCAATAATCTAGGGAGTCCTCGAAAGGTCCACTTCTGTGCTTTGAATTCCACTGCTGCCGCCTCCTTCCTGCCTTTAAAGTGGAAACACTGTATAACAGAAGAGGCTAGAAGGTGTTATCACTACCAGGCCAAATGAATTATACCAGACACGCTGTCATTATGATTGAAAATAATGAAAAGACCATAGTAAGAAATTGCTAAATGAATGTAGAAAATATAATAACAGCAGCCCTTCAATCGGAATTGCAAAACTGCATTCTGCATACTTATCTCTTTTGATCTGTTTATTGGAAGGCCAAAAAACGTGACCTTTGCCAACCACTGTACAGTGTGCTGCTTCCGGCTGTGCTACTAGACAGGATTTGTTTGCTGGTCCTGCTACTGGGTGGCTCGCCTCAGATTCACTCAGGTTTCACCTTAGCCCCAGTATTCATTTACTGTGTGCAAAAGAGGAGCATTTGGTTACTGTGTGTATATGCGAAAGCACCCTGGATGTGCCCTCTCCATCCTTCATCTAAACAGTGTCGCTTGAAGGCACCCAAAAACTGAAAAACTTCTTGTTGGCTCCTGAAATAAGTGAAGAATGAAGCAGCATTTTTAGTACATGGATATGGAAACAGTTCCTTTGCTTTTCCATTTATCATTTGCATGAAATGTTACCATCCTAGACATTTTTGTTTTTACTTAAATTACATGTAGGTTTAATATTGAGCTACGTTACAGACGGGGACTCTTACTTTGCCCCTAAAGTGATCACAGGGATCATTTTTACAACTTGAGGCTACATTTAGCATTTACAAATGAGTTAAAACACAAGAGGAGTATGTAATAATACAAATCATTAACTAGATAAAAGAGATCAAATATAAGAACTTTGGTGAATATCATGGGTATAGGCAGTTGTGCAGGCAGCAACAGCAGTGGTGTGTCATTCTGAATGAAACAGGTGATGGGGGAGCAAGCCTGTTAATCATTTTACATGAGTAGACATGCTACAGACCACTATGAGCAATACACCACATTTTGTTGCATGAAGTTTGTTACTGTTAATGAGTAGGTTTGTTGTGGTAGCTGACTAACTTATACGTCTTTTATGCCTACAACAGGCCACGTCTCTTCAATGTCATTGCCACGATGTTGTCAGGGCAGCAAAAGTGCACTTTCTAAGTCAAATAACCCATCCATATTTGCAAACTGAGCACTGAATGCTATGCTGCAGGACAACAGACAGACTTAAGTGCAAAAGAATGAAGTAATTAGCATATGACTCTTGCCAGTTTCTTCCAGCTTCTTTCAGGAGGACTGTAATAGATCATCTTCTCTGGGTGCTGCTTGGCACAAGCAAGGCATGTTAGGTCCACAAGTGGATAGGGCCACAGGTACTTTCTTCACTAGTTTCATCAGCATTCTTCTACTTACTTATTGTGGGAGCGCTGTACTAAATAATATAGTTGTCAATGATGGCTGCATCATTGCTACAAACCACCGAAGGACCTGTTCTTGCGTGTTGTATAATTACTTATGTTATACTTATCGTTACTCATGTTATAGCTTTACTGTTATCAGTATAAATAAAAGTCCATGATGCCAGTTAGCTAGCTGCCTTTCATGAGAAATACAAACAATGGAATCTTTGTTTTCTGCTAATTTAGTCATTCAAATCAGGTCACCCTATTTTATGGTACTATGATCTTGTACATGACATATATGTATGATGAAGGAATTGGAAATCTATTCCACACTGTACATCCTAGACACTCCCATGAAGATTCAATGATGTTTAGATCTGGTGATTGGGGAGGCCATGGCAGGTGTTTGACTTCATAGGGTGCCCCTGGTCGCCCAAAATAAGAGTACTAGAGTAACAGTCAGTCCCAATGACTCCCATAAGATGGGTGCACATACCCTAACACATCCACCACCATGTTTAACAGCTGGGAACAGACAAAGTGGGTTGAAGGCTTCTTTTGGCTTCCTCCAAACATACAGCCGTCCAGACAAAGGGAAAAGAGTAAAAGAGATGACTCATCAGACAATGTTACTTTTTACCACTGCTAAGAAGCTCATATTTTGTGCTGACTACACCGGGTTACATGTTGCTGTAGACTGGCCTCAGTTACAAGCGGTTTCCGAGTGGCTGCCCTTCCATAAATATCAGCTTTGTGGAGCTCACAATGTACAGTTTTTGCTGAGACTGGATCGTGGAGGTGTAGAGTCAGTTCTGCAATCATTTTTGAGCCCATTGTTTTGTGTTTTTTTTAGTAACTATCCTGTTTAGTGTCTGTCTATGCCTGTTTATTACTATGCCTGTCGGTGAGCTTCTACTTGCGACCACTATTTCTCTTTCTAGATGCAGTTTTCCCATTTGTGGCGTATGCCATCATAATTTTCAACACTGTTCTCCTTGATACATAAAATAATTTAGCCTTTTCTGTGACTGGCACACCTGCAGTTCAGACACCATATTTGACCTCTTTCAAACTGTTAGATTGTGTATGTCACTTTAGAAACAGTATTAGTATTGATATTACTCGTGTAGATTGCTTTTTAATTGTGAATTACTTCAGAATACATTTTTTCATTTTGTTGAATTTCATTTTGTCTACTCCTGTATATATATATATATATATATATATATATATATATATATATATATATATATATATATATATATATATATATATATATATATAT